CTCTTGCCATTATTTACTAACTGAATTGAAACAACCAAAACAACAGCTAAGCAAAGCACATCGCCTTTTGAAGGCATCTATTGGCAAACAAAATAATTAGTTATGGCCGTTGGATAGACACTGATGAAAACAGAAGCGGGCACGTTTTCTTCAGCTGTAGGTTGGTGGTACTGTAGCCAGTCGCCGATGAGCGCAGGCCACGTGCTCACGTTTTCCCTTTCATAAACGACGACAGTGTATATAGCCATGCTGACTATGACTGGTAACGTGGGAAGTGTGTCCTCACAAGCTCAAAGGCTACACATGGCTGAAAATTGCCCTCATTTGCACAACTTGTTTGATGGACATGAGAGTTTCACCATAGTGAACTAAAACTTGAAACAGTGAAAACATATTTGGTATGCTGTGTTTCTTCTCTTTGCGTAAAGGTACAAGCTTTCAAGTTCTTAGTACTTTATTGTGAGAGATGCACACTGACCCAAGCACTACCTCCAACTTCATACTACTGTAAAATCTCAAGAAATCACCCCCTTGGTGCTCAAAGATGATCTGTAAGGGGGCCCTTGCTTGGTCTCGGACACTAATTCAATATAGAAGTGCATTTAGAAAAAATGCACACCTGTGTTTCTAATAAAATGCTGTATTGAATACACACGCATTTACTGTTTTACAGACCCGAAGAGAATCCTTGTGTGAAATTTCAGGTGTTATGACAAGGCGAGAAAGATGTTCTACAAATGTTCAGACAATTTGTGACAACTCAGAATGCAGCCTCTAGGCATCACATTGTAAATGTGTTAAAAAAAATCTTGCGCATATATAAGGACTCTCAGAACTTTGGTTCCAAATAACTGCTGCTGCGGAATTCCGTAGTGGAGAACAGGTTGAAAAATAATTGCGGGAGGGGAGGGGGTGCTTGCTGTGTATTTTACAGTGCCCACTCGCGATTAAAGTTGGAATGGAGACACTAGCATGTGCTTTTTTCATAGCATTCCCAGGGCTGCACAAGAGGCCCATTGAATATGACTACCCGTACAACCAAGGACCGCTTGCCACCAATTCAGCTGCTCTATCTGCGAGTGTTCTCTTCACACTATTTTAATTGTGCTATACTTTACAGTAAAATTGCACAATTATTTTCATATTTTTGTGTTTCAAACAATTTTGCTTAAATATATGCAGTCTGAACAAAGTCGACATTTACTACAGTTTTTTATGAGAGCTTATGCTTTGAATTGCAGCCCGAGTCATGCACTGAAGCTCACGCATGCACAGCTTACTCACTGCCACCTTTATTTGGGAGTGGAAAGATAGGCTGCTGCTTAAATTGTACAGGAAAATAAAGGAGAAGGTGTGCTAATTTGCCATGTCTGTTATAGGTAGGTGTACTTGCTGCCAAGGACCTCAAAGGAGGATAAGTGACAGGGGTGGAAATGAATCTGCACTCCAGCAAAGTCCACGACGAGCTAAGTCAAGAACATTATTGAAACGAACCACAAGATAAGCATTTTAAAAACTGCTAATAAAGCATTGTTTTGGCTTCATCATCCAACCTGTGGTTGTTTTTATAATTTCTTTATTTTTCCTGCATCAAAAACCTCAAGCTGAGCATTCCATTGTTATTACTAGTGCATATGTTTGCAGGTGCTTATTTCGCTGCAATCTTGGATAAGATATTTAGTAAATGTGCACAGTGGCCTTAATGTTTATCTGTTCCCTCTTTTGGTTTTAAGATGCACTTTTTTCTAGATTTGCATTTGTCTCTAATTGAAGAGATTTCATACTGATCCTTGGGGCGTGTAGTAAATAACAAGCAACTTTTTCAGGCAAGGTTACCTTATCATTTTCGGTGATATGTGGGGTTTATCGTCCCACAACCACCATATGATTATGACAGATGTCTAACTTTACCATTTCTTGTCAGTAACTTTTAATAAACATTTCTATTTGTCCTGAACATTATTTCTTTGACAGTATAGTGTCATGACTACTGCACAATTGTATAGAATTAGTTTGCCTAATGAAGTTGAAGAAATTTTTTGATTTGCAAAAGGTGTGTGTATGGGCCAACTTGAATACATAAAAAACTGTTTCAAACATCCTCCCATGCCGTAAATGTTTCCTGATGAACTTGTCTTCTGGTTTGAACAAATGTCGAAAAAAAGTCATGGCAATAGGGAAGGCCTTGAAAAATCACAGTGCGAAATAATGTCATAAATTCTGTGATGAACCATACATTCACATGAAAAAAACTGGGAGCAGAATTTTGCAAGCATTGTACATCTATGATGGTTTAGAGAATAATTAATAAAATTAAGTTCGACGGTTTCATGTCGCAAAACTAAAATCTGGTTATGAGATGCACTGTTTCAAGCTAAAGCTTAACTATTTTGACCTCATAATCTCTCTGAGTGCATGGAACTAGGGCACTAGTACATATTACAACTATTTATAACGCGACTCCTGAGGTTCGGAATCAATCCTGTGATCTCGTGCAGAACTGCACGCAGTGGCGGATCCAGAAGGGGACGCTAGAGGCGATCGCCCCCCCCCCCCCCAAAGGCCTGTCAGTACCCCCTCCCCCTCTCTTCAGTGCTTGCCGTCCACCTGTTATCGCCAATCAGGACAAATGACTGGGATTCTTTTAAGCACACATTATTAGTATTTATACTGTGATAGAGTTTTTAAGCTAGTAAAAAAACAAAAATAATTAGCACGCCCCTCTCTCCGGTGTTACTTTAAGCAACTCCCATTCCCCTAAAACGATTGGTGGTGAAAGGTACCTAATTTCTGCAGCCTGGTCAGGAGCACGGGCTGGATCCAACCCTGACTGCACGGCACCATTTCCCTTTACCTTAGGGTCAGTATAGCGATACAAACTTTCTTTTAATGCACTACTTCATATTTAAATAAAGACAGCCACATTTACACTGATGATTTTTAAAGCTACATGTGTAGACTAAAAAAGCCTGTATATGCGACCGATGGTATAGCGTCCTGTACAAACAAACAGTATTGCTCATATGATCTACAGCAGAATGCTGAATAACGACACTGCCTTAAACTATAGCTTAAAAAGGAACCTTTTTGTGATGAATGGGAGCTGTGACATATTAATCTCTTTTGGCATCTAGCATCAAACACTGTGCTAAGATGGAGTGAAATATGACAAAGACAGGCAATATAATACGACTTCCGGGTTGTTTAAATGTCTATATTGAAATGCAGAGGCATAAATAAGTGGATAAATATGGTGCTACTACATGTACATGCAACAAAGTGGAACCTCAATACTAATTACTTAATTTCAATTAGTTCTATGACTATAGTGATCACCAGCAATGCTTTTACTGAATGATGTTACCCTCTTCATTAGGTACAATAAAACACCACATTTGAATTATATAGGTTTTCTGTTTACTAAGTTGAGGCATTTGTTATTAGATCATTTGTGCTGTGTTTGACAATCTGGGCAAATGCATGGCAAATGAAACAGCACCTGTTCAATCAGAGCAAAACCACTCTATTCATTACATTGAAGTTCAATATGTTATGACACCATCCTTGCATGCTAAAGAAAATTCGAATAATTTGTGACAATCTTGACTTCAGAGGTATTGAAATTTCTAGACATTTAATGTTCAGGTATTAGCAGTTTGTTATAAAAGGATAGGAAAGAAGCTATATAAAGAGAAAAAAGAGAGCTTAATATAACATTTTTCGGAGGCCAGCAAAAGAGAGTAAGGCCTAGAAAAACAGTTGATTTTCCTTGGTGTTAGCGAAGGGAGTTAAAACTCTATTGCCAAACAATAGCAAAGGCTTCTTTTAATCCCAATAAAGAGAAGCCTTGCCTTGGTTTTTCCAAGAAAGCATTTTCTTTTTGACCACCAAAACCTCCTCAGGGGGTGTTATAGCATCTAAAGATCATAAGTACTTTTACCTCCTCAACTAACTCTAACCAGACAAACTTCCTAGTTGAAATGTATGGCTGCAAGAGGTGAATCGAATTTTTTTATTATGCTTTTAATGGAGAGCAACGTAGGTTCCTTCTGCTCTGCTGTGCATGAGCCTGCAAGCACAGAAACTTATGCAAGTACAAAAGATCTGTACATGGTGACAGACTTCCAATAGTGCTGTGATCAAATGCTCCCAGCTTTTATTTAACTGCAAATAACTTGCTTAAAATGCCGCAGCTGTTGTTTCGTACCTATTGACCACATATTTTAAACAAATACTATTACGCTGTGCTATAACCAGTAGGCATGATGTACCATTTGGGTGCTTTTCAAAAACTAATAGACCGGCTGTTGTAAATCATCTGAGCGTATTTTCACAACCAAAAGTTTATACAGGCAAATGTTGCAACAATATAATTAATTACTCATTAAATATGCCAAGCAGTGGTCTTTGAGTTGCAGTTGAAAATTGCAATACCGTAGTGCTTCATCAAAGTGTCAAGGTCCTCCACTGCCCTGGTCCTTTATTAATGTATGAGGGGTGATCTTTTATTAAATCATTTGCATTATGAAGTGGGAAAAAGCAACAAGACCATAACTGATATTTTTGCCCAAAGTAAATTACTGCTATATCATGAAAAGAAGATGCACCGACCGAAATACGCCACGCTTAACTGCACGTTGGAATGTTTCATGATGTTAATGTTATCGCGTGCCATAAACATATCAAACGACAACGTCACATACAATCAACATCTATACATAGCCTTCATAGAGTACGAGAAGGTGTTTGACTCAGTCAAGACATCAGCAGTAATGCAGGCACTACTGAATTAGAGCATCGAATAATGCTACATAACCTCCCGAGTACCAGCAATAGGGAATTTGTCCAAAATATTGGACATCAAAGACCGAGCGATTACAGCTTTTGCAAAGCTCCTATCGCCGTAAAACCGGTTGTCCAATACCTTTGACAACTGGTGCTGCCATCTGTACCATGGTTTTAAAATTAAAGGTCTCGAAGCGCCGCTAGGAGTATTCATAATGGCGGCGTTCAGTGGTGCGGCATTCTACGGTGTCAATCGCAACCGTAAGTACATTTTTTCGCACTTTGAGCTTATTTAATGTCATTTCATCGGTTAAACGTCAAAGATAATGTTGCAGAGAGCACACGCAGCTAAATATTCAAGCTCTTAACGTCCTTTCTTTTGCCTACGCGGTGTGAGCTTTGACATGTCCGAAAGATTGGACGTCGGGACTGAACCAAGTTGCTTTGTGTGAATTACGTGGCGTGCTGCAGTGTGAACAGAACGTGCTTGCTTCCGATTGCTACTAGGTTGCGGTATGATATGAAATTCTTTTTCATTTAGGAAAAAGGCCACGTGTCGTTGATGAGACGGCCGAAAGAATCCTTGAACGAATCGCCAGAACGGCGACGTCCGACATTGATCTTTCGGACAGTGACGACGACACTTTGGTAGACACTACATTTTCGGCTCCACTTCATACCCTGAGCTCTGAAGAGGACGAAAATAGCGACGATGAATGCCCGTCCACCTCGAAGACGACAAAGGGGCAGTCATGGAAACGCTATGATGGGTAAGGAATAGTAGTAGTATGCGTTTTGGGAAGGTGGGGGTGGGCTAATGTGCTGCAGGAGTGGGCATTGTGACGGTCTGTCATTGCCATGTGAACGGATCAAAAGCAACTCTGCCCTTTTAGGCTGTTTTTCTTCATGCAGGCCACTTCCGTCTTGGATTCCTGACTTCACATCCACCCCTGATGACAGTCAACAACGGGTTTCGTGGAGTCCAAGTGACTACCTCGTTCAGTATGTGCCACATGAAGTCTTCGAGATGATGGCTTTTGCCACGAACACGACACATGTCCAGGAGACTGGAAAAAGTCTGGAGACCTCAGTAGAAGAACTCAAAATGTTTTTTTTTGGGGGGGGGGGGATTTCACTGACAATGTCCTGCCTGTGCTACCCGCAGATTCGCATGTACTGGATGAAAAAGGCAAGGGTGCCTCTTGTTGCGGATAACATGACAAAGAACCCTCCGCAGGGGCGCCTGTGAAAACAGGCGTTTGGTGTTGTTGAATAAAACAGGTCACTGACCAATGTCAAACAAAACAATGACGTTTCGGGACACGTACGGATCCCTTGTTCACATGGAATTACGGCTGAGCAACAGGTTCTTATGTAACGTTGAGCGCATGACGCAAAGTCCGGTAGTACACGTGGTTTAGTGTGCCAGATGATCTATTGATTGTGTTACTTGTCGTCTGAATGATTAGTGATTCGAGGTTCAGTCTGGTTGTAAAATTCTTCTCCGTGGCCATGATGCGTGCGTTGTCCCAGCTTATCTCGTGGCCCGTCTTCTCGGCATGCCCTGCGAGTGCATTTGTCACTGTGTGGCCCTTGGCGACGTCATTCTTGTGTTGCATCAGACGTCTGCAGTAATTTCCACTCGTGCCAATGTACACTGATTCGCAATCGGCGCACGGTATCTTGTAGACCACACTGGGAAAGTGTTGCCGAGGGAAAGGATCCTTCACATTTAGCAACTAAGCCTTAAGCTTGCTTGCTGGAACATGCGCGATCTGTACACCACGTTTTCTGAATAGACGGGCTAGGGCTTCGCTTACATGTTGAATATAAGGAATCGATGCACGCTTTTGCGTAGACGATGTGTTATGCATGGCTTGACTAGTTGACTGCAGTTTATGCATGACGGATTTAGTTGTTTGTGCAACAGGTTACATAAGAACCTGTTGCTCAGCCGTCATTCCATTGTGAACAAGGGATCCGGACGGGTCCCGAAACGTAATTGTTTTGTTTGACATTGGTCAGTGACCTGTTTTATTCAACAATGCCTTTACCTGACCAGACGGCATTCCGTCGAACTCTCGACTGCGTTTGGTGTGTAGCGACACCACGGACCCGAGCTAACGGGGAGTTACAACTCCCTCCCACGCCTAGCCGTGCGTGGCTCTGCCGTGCCCGGGCAAAAGGGGATCCTGGGGGTTGAGCCGACGCCGGGTGATTGGACCTTTAAGGCCCCCCGGCAGATGCAATACACCCCTTTGGCCCCGGCTTTACGTAGACGGCACCCCTGGGCTGATCCACCCAGGGGAAATCGGCAGTCGCCTTTTCCTATCTCTCCCCCCCCCCCCCCCACACCTTCGTCTTTTCTCCTCTTTAAATCTATCCTGTCTTCTAATTTCTTCTGTTACTTTCTCAATTTCACGGGCGGCTTGGGTTAACCTTGTGCAGGTAGCCAACCTTGGCCTACGCGCATTAGGTTATCGTAGCGGTGTACGGCTGGCATCTGCATGTTTCGCGTTTCATGAATCTTGTAGCGTCCCCTCGTTGGGCTCCGTGGTGGGTGGCCGCCATCGTTACTGAATTACAATCCTCTATCATGCATAGAAGCTTTCCACTCCTCAATGATCGTGCCGCTTCAAAGCGCGTACGCACCGAAGAATTTTCCTTTTTCAGCCGACCCAATGAAGTATGCCCTCGTTATCATGTTGTACACAGTGAGAAGCCCCACAAAACAGCCAGAGCAGTGTCCCCGTTCATAGTATCGTGGTCCCTGACAGCCACATTAGGTGATGGCTACAAAGTTACAAAAATGGCTAGTGGCGACCTTCTTTTAGAACTCCGTGACAAAGCACAATTCGACAAACTAAAGAACCTTGCAACATTCGGCGACATTCCCATCAGCGTAACACCTCATCGATCCATGAACTCTGTACTTGGAGTTGTTTCCGACACAGACTTTCTTGACCTGAAAGAGGCTGAACTCCTCGAGGGCTGGAAAGAACAGAATGTGATCAATGTGAAGCGAATCGTCTTCCGAAGGAACAATCAGGAAACCCCCACGAAACACTTGGTACTGACCTTTGCCACCAGTGAACTACCACAAACAATAGAAACTGGCTATACAAAGACACCGATCAGACCCTACATACTAAACCCCCGCCGATGTTACCAGTGTCAATGGTTCGGCCATGGCTCTCACTCAGAGCTGTCGTGGTCGACCTGCTTCTGCCAAATGCGGTGCCCAAGGCCACATCTCTGACAAATGTAATGAAACCCTACTTTGTGTAAACTGTGACGGAGTGGGCTCGGTGGCACTGCCATGAGCGTCGCAGAAGATTTTTCACCAGCTGTTAGGAACGCCCGTAAACACCTTGTCGCCTTCGCTAAAGATAAATCTGCACCCTATTCCTTGCGTTTCAAAACGCTGTTCATGGGCCCAAAGCGGTACGTATACGATGAAGCTTCTCAAACAGTCAAAGAAGCATAGCAACCACAAATCGAGACAAAATTAATCCGTCGTCCGAAACCAACAGGCAAGTCACGTCTTCCCATCTCAGTAATCTTCACTAATATACGCAGCTTCATTTCAAAACGTGAACATGTGTCCAACCTTGTGCTGACATCTAAAAGCAACATGTTAATTCTTACCGAAACTTGGCTTAGCGACCACATTTCAGATTCGGAAGTACTGACAGATTTGCCTAATTTCAGTCTGTTTCGTGCTGACCGACCGAATGCACGAGGCGGAGGTGTCCTCATAGCTGCCAGCCAGGAACTATCGTGCTCTGTTCTTAGTATCAGGTCGAACTTAGAACTACTTTTCATTCATTGTCACGCCGCTCCACAATCAGTACTTGTGGGCGTTTGCTATAGACCCCCCCACAGTAGCCCAGCTTTTGCCATTGAGCTAAACAATGCACTCTTCGAAATAACATCGAAGCACACCAAGGCTAGCCTTCTCCTTTTCGGAGACTTCAATTTTCCAGACATTAATTGGCACAACTTATCTCCCCACTTAGTAAACGAGACGGAGGTAAAAAACTTTCTTGACGTTTGTCTTGATTTTAATCTTAGTCAACTAGTGTCTCAACCAACGCGTATCACGGAAAACACAGCTAACGTATTAGATTTAATACTAACAAACCAACCAGACAAATTATCATCGATCGCCTACCTAAAAGAAATCAGTGATCATAAGGTCATTCACGCGTCCTTTAACTTTGGGGCAGTTCCGCGCTTGAAAGTACAAAAAACTATACATCTTTACAAGAAAGCAAACTACAAAGCTATGTACGATAACCTGTGTGAGTTTTTAGTTTCATTTGAAACGTCTTTCAATAAACGCACCATCCATACAAATTGGCAAATATTTAAAGAAAAAATTAACAGCCTAGCAGACAGATACATCCCAAGGATAGCGATAGGAACGCAACCAGAAAAACCATGGTTCAGCAATTCTTTAAAAAGGTTGGATAACAAAAAGAAACGTTTATACCGAGCAGCAAAAGGTACCACAAATGTATGCGCATGGGATAAATATTACACAGCGGAACGCGCATACTTGTCAGCTGTTCGGGAAGCAAAAAAAAACGTACTTTCACGAAGACCTACCCAAGATGCTGGTCAACAATCCAAGGAAATTTTGGCAGGTGATTAATCCTCGAGATATAAACAGCAACACGCTAATTAACGAAGACGGTGAAACGGTCGACGACGTGGAGTGCGCTAACATTTTCAATGCAGCTTTCGCGTCAGTATTCACCAAAGAAGTTAGCTTACCATTTCCTTCTACAGCGTCAAGCACACCTAATACCATGCCAGTTATAACTTTCCATGTTGATGGTATTTCCTCTTTAATTGACAATCTCAAACTATCATCTTCAGCCGGAGTAGACAACATAAACTCAAAAGTGTTAAAAAATACTAAAGATATCAGTGCTGCTTATTTATGTCTATTGTTTTCTCAGTCACTTTCCACAGGCACCATACCTCATGACTGGACGGTGGGAAGGGTTGTTCCAATCTATAAATCAGGGGACAAGAATTCCCCACTTAACTATCGCCCCATTTCACTTACAAGCGTACCTTGCAAAATCATGGAACATGTCATTTATACAGAAATCATGAAATTTTTAGACTCGAATAATACTTTCATCCTTCACAGCACGGATTTCGCAAAGGGTTTTCTTGCGAAACCCAATTGGCAGCGTTTCTGCATGATCTTCACACAAATCTCGATACTAACCTACAGACAGACGCGATATTTTTAGACTTTGCGAAGGCGTTCGATAAGGTACCACATCAACGATTGCTACTAAAACTATCTTTGGCAAATGTACACCCCGACGTCTTACGATGGATTGAAGCATTCCTTAATAACCGCTCACAGTTTGTCTTTATTAACAACAGCACCTCTGACTCCCTGCGTGTAACTTCCGGTGTTCCTCAAGGATCTGTTCTCGGGCCTCTCCTCTTTTTAATATATATTAACGATCTACCTGGTCATGTAACCTGTAATATCCGTATGTTTGCGGATGATTGCGTCATTTACAAAACCATTACTAATACATCTCACCAAATTTCTCTTCAGGCAAATATTAACCGTCTGCAACAATGGTGTGACTGTTGGCTAATGACACTAAACCCCGCTAAGTGTAAAGTTGTGACATTCTCCCGTCGACGTAACCCTCTGTCCTATTCATATTCAATCAATAACATATCATTAGAAGCTTCGCCCTCATACAAATACCTCGGTGTTACCCTAACTAAAGATTTATCTTGGAACGCACATATCACTAACGTCATCTCATCTTCTAATAAATCACTTGGTTTCCTTAAACGCCACCTAAAACAAGCCCCAAAGCATGTTAGATTACTAGCCTATCAAACCATAATCCGCCCTAAACTCGAATACGCATGCGCAGTATGGAGCCCCCACCAAACATATTTAAGCAACGCTCTCGAAACCGTGCAAAACCGTGCTGTAAGGTTCATACACTCTCAATATTCATATCATGTCAGCGTGTCTTTATTGCGAAAGGACTTAGGTCTGCCGACCCTTGCCCATCGTCGCCGTGTTTTATCACTATCTCTTTTTCATAAGTTTTATCATTGTTCGCTCAATCAAACGCCGTACATTATTCCCCCTGGCAGAACATCGCATCGAACTGGGCACATCAACCATGTGGGCCGCCCCCGCACTCGTACTACTACCTTTTCAGGTTCTTTTTTCTTTCGCACAGCCATAGA